AAGGTCAAACTTTACAACTTGTATGTGATGATTTCCTGACATTTATGACTAAGATTGTATTAATCTGTTTTTCAGCAACACGTTGTTCAGGTTAAAAGAAAGAGTGCAGACATTTTAAAACCATTTCTGTGAAAAAAGTTATATTTAGTTGTTTTATTTTTAGATTCAAACAATCTCAGTTTGAAGAAACAGATGATCTGGTGAGATTGATGAGCTAACTGCTAGTCAAGTCCAAAGTTTATCATTGCTGTTTTAAAATCGCTCAAATGTAAGTAAATATGTTGTAGTAAACGATAAAACTCAAATTCTTCACAATAAAGTGACTGTAAGACAAATACAACTTCCAAAGCCTTTGATTTTACTCTCATTTAATTTGCAAAAGACTCTGTTTCAACAGGATTTTGATTCAAACTGTTAAAAAGAGGTTTGAGTATGTCAGGAATGTTTAACTTAATAGCCAAGTAGACCTGGATATTGTCTGCAAAGCAATGAAAATGTTGTAGGGAGCCAAAATGCAGCATAAGCAAGTCAATAAGCAGTGGAGCCAATACAGATCCTTGAGGGACTCCTCAAGTAAAAGGAGCTGCAGCAGAAAAGCATTTTCAAAAATGAATAGGAAAGCTGTGAACTGATGATTCATTTCCTTTTTTAATTTTTACATTAGATGTGTCTAAAAACGCAGTGTTCAACTTTTGAAGTCAACTAGCTGTTAGCTTGTCAGTTCAATTAGAACTACTCTGTCTCTTCAAACTGAGGTTGTTCATACCTTTTCTGCAGAAACCACCATTAAAAGATCTGAACTATTCTTCAAATCTCAGTCCACCATCATGGCCTCAAGCATCTCAGTGAGAAGTTTCTCTGTGAACCGTCGGCCATCCTTCTCCAGTCGCTCCCTGATGGACACCAGCCGGGCTCGCTCTCGGGCCTCCGTCTCTTTTGCTGCAGCCAGCCCACTGACTCGTTCAGCATCCATCAGCCAGGATCTAAATGGGCCGATCAGCCTCCAACCAAATGGATGGCATGGCAACAGCACCAACGAGAAGGAGGCCATGCAGAGTCTGAACAGCCGCCTGGCTAACTACCTGGATAAGGTCTGACTTGTAACAGAGTACAGCATTGTTGGATCATGTTAGAGGGCAACGATTCAGCCCATCGTAACCTGAAACACTTCTCCTCTGTTTGTGTCTCTTAGGTGCGCTCACTGGAGCGCTCCAACGCTGACTTGGAGATGAGAATCAAGCAGCTGATGCTTGACCGCATTCCTAAAGGTCACGACTTGGATAGCATGATGGCCCAGGCACACGCTGTGGAACAAGAGGTGGGGATGATGAGACCCGCCACCTCACAGATTTCACATGGCAGGGTCTGGGGTGTCGGTTTCAGATCTAAAGATTAAAGTAAAGCTCCAAGTGTAAGCAAGGCTAGACTTGAAAATTTGGTAAACATGTAACAGAATTAAAATCCCATTAATGGTCATTTAACCTTTAAAAATAGATTTAGCTACAGTTTAATGACTAAGGAATGTGTGCTCCCTCACAGGTCTTGTTTAAACATCAACAGTGACATAACACTGTTTCAGAGCTCTTCCACTGTGATGTAAAACACAAAGGACCCCATTAGACTCTAATGACAGACTGTGTTTGACTACTGTTAATATTTATCAGGTGAGGAAGAAAACCTTGGAAAACGCCCGCCTCATGTTGGAGATTGATAATGCTAAACTGGCCGCGGATGACTTCAGAATCAAGTGAGTGACACTAAGATGCTTAAATGTTTGCTCATTTGTGATAAAACTTATAAAGCTGGATGGATTTCAGTGTTCAGCTGCTGTAAACAGTTTACACACTAAAAAGGCCTTAGTAATGCTTAGTTGGGTGTTTTTGTCATGAGGGTACACGAAGAAAACCAAAACCAAAGCAGATGTTTTGCAATGATTTCTCAGCTCAGATCATGGGAAAAGTAGAAAAGGCATAAGGAAAGGCATGAAAATATTTCATTATTTGATTATTGGACAGATTTGTTGTTCTCTGCAAACAAGTGGATAAAATGTATGTGCATCAGCAAATACGAATAATGCATTAATGTGGAAGCTCTTATCATTTTCATTTTCTACATATTTAGTTAACGTTTTGAAACAATTGTCAAATAAAAATATCCATATCTATACGCAGCTTTACTCTGATGAAGTGCAACCTCTTGAAATGGTTTCCTGAACTTTACGACTACTTTGAGCGATCAAAAGAAAAGAGTTCCTCTGCAGCCATGCTAAATAGATTTTTTCAATACATTTTGAAAGGTTTTGAAGATGGTCTTGTTACAAAAACAACAAAAAGCCACCTTCTCAGTGGCCTAGTGGTATGAGTGTCCACTCTGAGGCTGGGAGATTGTGGGTTCAAAACTACAGTCGGGTCATACCAAGGATTTTAAAAATCTCACTCAGCATTAAGGGGTTGGATTGGGGGATTAAACCACCAAATAATTCCTGAGTGCAACCACTGCTGCAGCTGACCGCCCCCTGCATAGATGGGTCAGATGTGGAGATGTGATGATGGGACTTTAGCTTTAAAATGGATCAGAGCAGACCTAGACTATAGGATAACTGTCCCCACACCCTGTAAACTGTATTGTTGTTGTTTACCTGAAAAGGTGGGAGACTGAGCTGGTGATGTGCCAGTCTGTGGAACGGGACTGTGTTGCTCTGAAAAAGGCTAAAACTGATCATGAGCAGATCATTTCCTCCCTGAGAGGAGATTTGGACAGCCTCAAAGAGGAGCTTTACTTCCTGAAGAAAAACCACGAGGAGGTGAGCCCGTGAGCACACACACACACACACACACACACACACACACACACACACACACACACACACACACACACACACACACACACACACACACACACACACACACACACACTTTAATCCCTTCTCCTTTTACTTGCCTATAGTTGTATGTGAATTGCAGCTCATTGGGCAGCATTTACTCATTACCTGACATTTACAATGTTGCACTTTCACTTTGGCCGTTTTTCTTATTGTACGATAAATCTTCACAAACAGCACATTGTTCGATGCTGGTCTGACCCAATTAGGTGGTATCTGTCGTTTGTCTGGAGCCAAAGTAGACAGAAATGGAGACAGAGAGGTAGAACTCTAGTTACTGTAGACAAAAGGCAAGTAGATCTGATTGCTACTAAATGCACCTTCTATCCAGTCAGATGTCCTCAGAGGGAAAGAGAAGCTCGCTCCCTCACAGCGATTGATGGATTAACCACAGTCGTAGTGAAAAAGACTAAATGAATCTGTTTTGATGCTGTTTATGATGCAGTATTGAGCAAAAACAGCTGTTAAAGCTAAGTGACTTAGCTGCAACTGGACTATTTTATTTTACACTTACACCTTTCACTGATAAAACAACAAAGTGTAGCCTTTTATTCATATCTGTGATGGTTTTGATCATCTTATTCAGGCATGTAGCCAATCAGTAGTTGTTTTCTGCAAACTGCAAATTATTTTGTGTCTTTTCTCAGCTCTGGTTAGAATATTGCCCCCTCACAAAGATCCATTTAAATATTTCTTTTAACTGAAACACATACTAAACATTTCTAAAAGTGAGAATAAACTGAATTTTCCAAACTTTTGACCTTAAAGGCTTCAATCATTGTAATAATCAATATTTATTATACAGAAAATGCTAAATCATTATGAAAAATCATTTGACAGTGTTAAATTCCAAACCATCAACCCTGCACCACCATGCTTGACAGCTTGTATGTTTGAGCCAATAATTTAGATCCCTGTTCTGCTCTTGTCAGAGAAAAAAACAATGTTCCTAACTTTTGCACAGATTGTTCAGACTTTAAACATTTAATCTGTGCTGACATGTTTTTAGAAAGAAGAGACTTTTGTTTTCCTGGCGAACCTCCTGAACAAGACACACTTAAGTCCTTTTTAAAATTGTGTAGCAATCAACTGTAACTTATACTGTAAAGCTAAAATGACAACAGGAACAATATACTCAGTTTTTGCACAGAGCTTTTTTTATAACTATGTAATCAACCATAACTGTACCACGACTGTACAACAACACATGACACAGTGAGAGGATATGAATCCTATGGATCAAGAGTAAGATGAGCTTCATACTGTTAAGTATTTATGAAGAACATCTAAATAATGAAAATGTAGTCTAATCCTTCCTGCCACTCTGTAGTGTAGGTTTCACAAAGCTGCAGCTGCTGCTAAAGGTCCATATGTTTCCTGTTTGGCCAGATGTCAAACATGATACAAGCATCTAATCTGATACTATATCGACTTGGTCTGAAAAGAAACAATTTTTTTTATGTCCCTGAAGGAACTTGAGCAGATGAAATCTCGAATTGCCAGAGATGAAGTGAATGTTGAGGTGGACTCAGCTAGTGGACCAGAGCTGGGAACCATTCTGTCTGAGCTGCGCTCCCAGTATGAGGGCATTGTCAAGAGGAACAAGGAGCAGGCGGAGCAGTGGTACCGCAAGAAGGTGTCCGCAAAAATCCAGTGGAAACACTTCCTGACTTTCTCAATTTAAAGATCTCATTAAACAGAGGTTGCGTCCACTAAATACTTGTGTTTCTGTTGCGTTGTTTGCAGCTGGAGACTGTGCAGAATGAAGTGAAAGAGAGTAATGAGGCCTTAAGGGGTGCCCAGGGAGAGCTGACTGAGAGACAACGCTTCCTGCAGACTCTGGAGGTGGAGCTGGATAGTCTGCACAAACAGGTGCAAAATAAAGCTCACAACTAAACATTTGCCTATGCAGTACCTTGACATGCAATTGAAAATAAACATCAAGCATTGGAAAAAATATTATCCAAGTCTAATCTCCACTTTTGCAGTAGTACAAACATCATCCTGTGTACACTAGACAATGCAAACACCACAACCTGGAATTAAAATGACGGTTACGAGTGAGCGTTTAAACAAACCACTTTGATTTATGTGTCGTATAAAAAGACAGACTGGTTTCACGACAGATTTGTTAAGCAGATACAAAGAAAATACTTAAAGGAATTAACATTCAGTCTCAACCAGCCGGGTTTCGTCCATGTTTTACTTTGGTGTAATCCTGTGTTGATGGTAATGTCTTCTCCCACGTTGATATGGCATGCAAGGGCATTGAGATTTAGTTGCTAAATGGAGCAGAGGTGAGGTAGCTGCTCCTGAAGTGCGTGTGTTTGTCAGCTCACAGAAATCTGAATATTGCTTATGAAGAGTCATTTCAAAATCAGGAGGCATTCTTGTGGTTTCATACTCACCAACAAAACATTTCTGATGCAACATAACAAGACTGAAAAACCACAACTTTTATGACAAATCAACTTAAAGCATCATATTGCTTAACACTCATTACAAAACAGTAATCATCTCTGCTTTAAACGGATACTATGCAACCATTTCATAAATTATTTTCAGTATGTATGAAAATTACCCTTTATAGGGTTAATGAAATGTCACTCAGACCCCACTGCCCCCTGTGGCCAGAGTACTGCACTTGCAACTTCAGAGTGCCGGTATGGTCCTTGATAGACTTAATAAAGCTGATGTGCTAGTGCTGCAGTCTGCTTCAAGCTTGTTTACTGCATGTTTTAGATCGTGAACATGGCTGATTTGTTTGATTTAGTGACAAATCGCTCCTGTAGATGCTAATGAAGGCTGTGGAGACATTTCAGTTAGTAGATTAATGTGGAATAATTGATTGCAGATTACAGCTCTGGAAGGTAACCTGGGTGAGACGAGTCAAAAGTATGCTGCTGAGATGGAGCGGCTGCAGGTCACTCTGAGCCAGATGGAGGATGACTTGTCTCAGCTCAGGCTGGACATGCAGCGAACCAAAACCGACTATGAGCAGCTTCTCCGCATCAAGCAGAACCTGGAAATGGAGATAGCGACCTACAGACGCCTGCTGGAGGGAGAGGAATCGTGAGTGATGTAGGGTGATGGATGTCGCTACATATTTGTTAAATGATCAATAAGATATTCCATATAAATATCAATTATCAGTCTGATTGGTCTTTGAATATTTGATTTAATATTACCTTAGGTTCTTTGGACTTTTCAGGGAAACAAACACTTCATATTAATTCAGACGGAGTCAGAATATAGTTTAAAAAAATAATTTAATTCTATATTTCTAAACTAATGATGACACAGAACAAATTATGAAGAATGATGGTTGTACAAGATAATGTCAGGTTCGATGGGCTGAGCTGGAGTGGTTATGAGACCCAGGCGCGGAGAGAATGGTGGATGGAGACTGATATGTGGCAGCGTGGGAAGTTCTCTTCCCGTATGGTTCGTAGAGTTAGTGTCTTAGGTCTTAGAATGGCTTGGCGTCTATCGTTAGATGATGACTGAGTGCCGGCTCCGCTGTGACAGGTCCTTAAATAGGCTCAGCGGGATGACGTCACCGGGAAGCGTCGGTGACAGGCATGCTGGGAACTGGAGTGCAGCGCCAGCCCGGCCCGTAGAGGAGGTTAAGAGGAGGAGTTCATGACAGGACCCCCCCCGCGAGGGACGGCTCCAGAAGGCCCAGGGCGACGAGACCAGAAATCAGCCAACAGGGAAGGATCCAGAAACGAGCGGGCAGGCTCCCAGCTACGCTCCTCCGGACCGTAACCCTGTCAGTCCACCAAATACTGCCATCCACGGCCCCGGCGGCGGGCGTCCAGAATCTTGCGGACGGTGTAGACGGGGTCCCCATCGACATCTCGGGGCGTCGGCACCCGGGCCGGAGGCGGATGGAGAGGAGAAGACACCACCGGCTTGAGCTGTGAGACGTGGAATACCGGGTGCACCTTAAGAGTGGAAGGGAGGCGCAGCCGGTAAGCGACCGGACCGAGGACATCTCGGACTGGGAAGGGCCCCAAAAAGCGAGGCGACAGCTTCCTGGAACCAGCCGGAAACTGGAGGTTTGCGGTAGAGAGCCAAACCCGGTCACCAGGCTGGAACACAGGGCCGGGCCGGTGGCGGCGGCGGTGTTGTCGGGAGTACTCCGTATTAGCCTGGGTGATGGCGGCGCGAGCCCTGATCCAAGCGAGACGGCAGCGGCGGACCATATCCTGAGCCGCCGGAACCTCCACCTCCGGCACCTGATGGTCGAAAAGAGGGGGCTGGTATCCGTAGCAGGTCTCGAAGGGCGATAGACCCGTGGCGGAGGACGTCTGGAGGTTGTGAGAGAGCTCCGCCCATAGGAGGTAACGAGGCCAGGTGGACGGTTGAGACGAGGCGAAGCAGCGTAAGTAACGCCCAAGCTGCTGGTTTGCTCTCTCCGTCTGACCATTAGTCTGGGGATGATAGCCTGACGACAGACTGGCGGAAGCGCCCACCAACCGACAGAAAGCCTTCCAGAAACGTGAGATGAACTGAGGCCCTCTGTCAGACACCACGTCCTGGGGGAATCCGTGGAGCCTCACCACATGATCGAGGAGGAGCTCCGCCGTTTTCTTAGCCGTGGGGAGCCCTGCCATAGCCACTAAGTGCACAGCCTTCGAAAAGTGGTCGGTGATGGTGAGGATGGTGTCCAGGTGGTCGGCAGCGGGAAGCCCCGTGACAAAGTCCACACCTATGTGTGACCACGGCCTTTTAGGCACAGGGAGCGGTTGCAATTCCCCGGCTCCAGGTTGGGTGGTGGACTTAGACCGGGCGCAAGTGTCACATGCAGCGGTGTATTCACGCACGTCCTTTCTCATAGAGGGCCACCACAGGGCCCGGTGGAGGAACTGGAAGGTACGAGCCTGGCCTTGGTGTCCCGCGAGCCGTGAACTATGCCCCCACCTCAAGGCCTCCTGTCGACACACGGCCGGAACGTAAAGGCGGTTAGGAGGCGTCTCTGGGGGCGCCGGGTCCGCCGGGAGAGCCGCCCGGATGGAGGCTTCCAGGGGCCATTGCAGGGCGGCCAAGAACCGTTCGGTCGGGAGGATGGACCTCGGTTCAGGAGGCCTTGGATCCTGGGTGTGTTGACGGGACAGGGCGTCCGCCTTGAGGTTCTTTGAGCCGGGGCGGTAGGCGATGTGAAAGTTATAAGGTTCGAAAAAGAGGGCCCACCGGGCCTGACGAGGGTTGAGTTGGCGAGCGGTCTGAATATGGATGAGGTTCTGATGATCAGTCCAGATTAGAAAAGGAGTGGGGGTACCCAGGAGCCACTGTCGCCACTCCTCCAGGGCCCACTTTATCGCCAACAATTCCCGGTCCCCGACCCCATAGTTCTGCTGGGTAGGAGAGAACTTCCGGGAAAAGAATGCGCAGGGATGGAGTTTGGAGTCCTGGCCACGTTGTGACAGTACGGCTCCCGCGCCCGTCTCAGAGGCGTCCACCTCCACAACGAAAGGCCGTGTTAGGTCCGGGTGGAGGAGGATGGGCTCGCTTACAAAGCGGCGGACCAGCTCATGGAAGGCAGCAACGGCCTCCGGGGAGAGGCGGAAAGGGCGAGGCTGATTGGTTGTTTTCGTCAGGGAAGTTAATGGTGACGCCAGGGCGCTGAAGTTGCGGATAAACCGGCGGTAGAAGTTGCAGAACCCCAGGAAACTCTGCAACTGCTTCAGGGTCTTGGGTAGTGGCCACTGCGCGACCGCCTGAACCTTCTGTGGGTCCATGCGCAGGCCCTGGGAGGAGATGATGAATCCCAGAAACGAGGTGGACTCCTGGTGAAAAGCACACTTCTCCAGTTTACAGAATAAGTCATGCTCCAGGAGGCGTGACAGAACGGCTCGAACATGCTGGGTGTGTTCCTCGGCCGTGCGGGAGTAGATGAGGATTTCGTCCAAATAAACAAAAACCCAACGACCCAGCATGTCACGGAGGACATCAGTGATGAAACGCTGGAAAACGGCAGGGCTGTTGCAGAGGCCGAAGGGCATGACCAGGTACTCATAATGTCCAGTGGGTGTAATGAAAGCGGTTTTCCACTCCTCTCCTTCCTTTATGCGGATGAGGTTGTATGCACTGCGGAGGTCCAGCTTGGTAAACAGTGTGGCTTGGGCAGTGGCGTCCAGAGCCGTGCTCATTAAGGGAAGAGGATGGCGGTCCCTGATGGTGATTTTATTCAACCCACGATAGTCTATACAGGGCCGGAGGTCACCTTCCTTCTTCTTCAGAAAGAAGAACCCTGCCGCCCCAGGAGACGTGGAATGTCGGATAAACCCCTTCTGGAGAGCCTCATTGATGTAAGCGTCCATCGCCTGGGTCTCTGCCGGGGAGAGCGAGAACAGCCGACCCCGAGGCGGGGTGGTTCCGGGCTGAAGCCTGATCTCCAGATCGTAGGGGCGATGAGGAGGCAGCTTGGTGGTAGGCTCCTTTGCAAAGACCCGAGCCAGATCGTGGTATTGGGGTGGAAGGAGTGTTAAATCCACGTCCTTGGGTGGTGTCTCCCTAGGCTTTGATCCTGGAAGGAGTGTTAAATCCACATCCTTGGGTGGTGTCTCCCTAGGCTGTGATCCTGGAGACGGATGATGAAGGCGACAGTTAACACCCCATGCCATGACTTTACTGGTGGACCAGGAGATGTGAGGGTCGTGGAGGTGGAACCAGGAATGACCCAGAATGAGAGGAGTCGTAGGGGCATGAATGACCAAGAAATGAAGGGTCTCTACGTGTTCTCCGATGGTCATCCGGAGGTTCTGGGTTCGGTGCGTGATCGGATATGGCATGAGAGGGCGCCCGTCCACTGAGGTGACGGGAACGGGATGATCGAGGAGGGTGAGTGGAATCTTGAGCCGGTTGACCAACCCCTGGTCGATAAAGCTTTCTGCAGCTCCGGTGTCGAGGAGGGCCACCAGGGGGACCGGTCCTTGGCTCAGCTGGAAGGAGACCGAGAGGGTGGTGTGATGAGGAGCTGCATGAGTGGAAACTCCGAGTGAGGCAGCTCCTACACCGACCCGGAGGGACCGTTTCCCGGGCGTATGGGGCATGTTTCACGGGGATGACCCAGAGCCCCACAATAGGCGCATCGTCCCTCCTGAAAACGGCGCGCCCGTTCCTCGGGGGGCAAATGACCCAGTTGCATGGGTTCCTCCATGGGTTGGTTCTCCTGACGGCGGGGGAAAGTTCGGGATTGTACGGGAACCGCCCTCACTCCTGGTCTGGTGAGGAGGCAGCGGTCCAGCTGGAGAGCCAGGTCCACCGCCTGGTCCAGGGTGGTTGGAGCCTCGTGACCAATCATGCCCTCACGGATGCGGGGTGACAATCCCTCCAAGTACACAGCCTTCACCGCGGCATCACCCCAGGTTAGACGGGCAGCGGTGGTCCGGAAGCGTGAGGTGAATTCGGCCACGGTCTGAGAGCCTTGTCGAAGCTGGAGCAGGCGTGTCTCATCTGCGACCTCGCTACTGGGATGAACGAATGCCTTCTTCAGTTCTTTCACGAAGGCTTCATAGTCGTTGCAGACTGGGGACTTCTGATGGTACAGAGCAGCCGCCCATTCACCGGCTCGCCCAGTCAGCAGGGAGGTTAACAGAGCCACGCGAGAGCAGGAAGTCGGGTAGCGTGCCGGCTGACACTCAAAAGTCATTGACAGAACGGCCAACATGCTCTCCGGGGATCCTTTAATCCCATCCCATTTCTCTGGGAGACTTAGATACGGCTCCACCACGTTAGGAGTGGCAGATGACTGTCGTTGGAGGGCTGAGGAGAGTTGGACTACCAGTTCGGTGACGGAATCGAGTTTGGATGCGAGGCGATCAGTAACAGCACGCAGCTGATTGTTCTCCACACGGAGTTGGGCGTTGTCCGCCTCCTGGCGTTCTACTCGGCTGAGCAGCTGCGCTACCTCAGCTCGCAGCTGTGCGATCTCCGCTGGGTCTACTCGGGACTCAGTCATCCTGTCAGGTTCGATGGGCTGAGCTGGAGTGGTTATGAGACCCAGGCGCGGAGAGAATGGTGGATGGAGACTGATATGTGGCAGCGTGGGAAGTTCTCTTCCCGTA